CAGGGTGTATTTAACTTTCTTATTTAGGCTACTTTCTTGTTTAACTGTATTATTTCTTTGATATTTATTTGAGTGTTTTGCAGGCTGCGTATTCACTGACGGAAGTGCTAAAATAAACACGCACGTTTGTTAATAGATGATTGAGCCTCATTTATTATTATTTGTTTCAAAATGATATATATATAAAATTTGTATACATAAATTATATATATATATATATGTATATATATATATATATATATATTTATATATCATTTATAACATATTTTTTAAATATTATGGTTCCATTATAAATATGGTGATTATCTCTAAGGACACCCAACTTAATATATTGTATTTATCATCTGAATCTAACCATGTCATCATGTTAATTATTGTGCCTTTATCCCCAACAGCAGGGACAGCAGCACTTTTTACCCAACAAACCATACTTTTACATATTCTTCCGTTACTGTAAAAACGGTTGCTTTAATTATCTTAAACAGAACTGAAAAACCTTAACAGAACCTTTGTCTCAAAATGTAGTCAATTTTATTTATCATTTGACATAAATCTACAACAGTAAATAAATAAACAAACAAACAAATAAATGAATATTAGATCAAAGTAGCCCAGAATTTTCATGTTTCTTTCTGCCAAATTTCCATGTGCATAGTCAAACATGGTTGTTAAGGAGAGTGCTGAAGTGAATATTTGTGCCATCTAGTGGTGTAAAGGAGAATGAAGTCAAATGTGCCTTTTACCGCAGTGCGCCTTTAGCCCTGTTGTACTCTACATATGTAATGACAGACAGACAAGTTGGAAAATATGTGGACATTGAAACAAAACATTCAAGTTCCCTCGGAAGGGAGCGTCTCAGGTTACGTATGTAACCATGGTTCCCGGAGAAGGGTACAAGACACTGCGTCCTCTAGAGGTCGCTTTGGGGGAACGCCTTCGGTGAGACCGGTGTCTGAAGCATACATCTAAACACGACAATAAAATTGGCTGGCGACAGCCTATGACGTCATTACCGGTGCGACCACAGTATAAAAGGGCACCGGGGAACACATCATCCGCTTCTTCATCTTAAGCTTACGTCCGAAGCATGTCGAGGAGTCTAGAGGATGCAGTGTCTCGTTCCCTTCTCAGGGAACCATGATTACATACATAACCTGAGTCGCTCCCTTCCGAGGGAACTTCGAACTGCATCCTCTAGTGGTCGCTTTTGGGAATGGTATACCCACGCTGACATGCTGAGGGGAGTGCATGCCAATACTAAGGAGAGCACTAAGTACCAACTCAACCAAGTTAAGGGAGTTGCCCCTAGGATGCTTTGACGGCTGTCAGTGACATCATCCCCTACAGCCAAAGGCCTGAGATATGCGTCAAAGAACTTACCTGTGAGGGGCCTTACCTGAGAACTTACCTGAGAGGAAGCCTGAGCCCAGGGCAAAGCTCAAGGCTTGGAATCAGAATAAAAGGATTCCTTAAGGGTATGCGGCTGAGTTTCAGGGCTGACCTAAACCCATATCTTGGCCTATTACACAGGGGGCTACGCTCTGCTCTTAAAATGAGCTACCCGAGGATCACATGATACTCCGGGAACTAAGTAGCAAACACCCTGCTTAAAAATGTATCAAAAAGATATACACACGGAGAGTGGGGCCCACGGTAAGAACCGGGGCCTGAGCCAACTCAGAGAAAGGGGACGAGGCTAGCATCGCTTCACCTTTACCATAAAGGATTTTAGAAAGGTGCGCAAAGGCTTAACATACACACCTACCATGAATATGGATTTTAAAAAAGTGCACAGAGAACTAGCGTGTGCACTTACCATAAATATGGTAAAGATTATAAAAAATACCATTACTAAAAAGGTGATAAAAACCATGGCGGGCCAGTACTTTATGTGACTGAGACTGCTCAGGAGTAGCAGGGTACTCAGCTTAGCACCTGTGGATCTGAAGGTGGCGTGTCTCATAGAAGAACCCTCTAGCTGAGGGGAGCCTCGCCAACCTGACTAAAGCAGTCACAAGAGCAGAACTCTAGATAACCATGAGAGGAACCTAATAGGTGGCCTAACAACCTAATAAGGCTAAATTACAGGGCCTCGATACTCAGAAGAGAGGGCATGACAGACGCTCAGGCGGAAGCGCCGTGCTCATAGAAACCCTCAAGAACAAGGGGAGCACTACCAAGCTTAACCATACAGGTATCATCAGAGTTACGTCAGTAGAGTGGGGCCCAGGTAAGGAATCCGGAGCCTGAGCCAACTCAGAGAAAGGGGGTGAGGCTAGCATCGCTTAACATAAAGGATTTCAGAAAGGTGCGCAAAGGCTTAGCGTGCACACCTACTATAAATATGGATTTTAAAGAAGTGCAGAGAGAACTAGCGTGTGCACTTACCATAAAAATGGATTTTAGACTAAGCTCTAAAAATGGAGGACTCACAATCAGGGAGGGGAGCTCTGTTAAGCTCGACCATAAGAGCAGCCCGTCAGGGAGGCAGAGGATGACCTAGCTTCCTGACGTGGTTGCCGTACGGAGCTCCAGAGCGCAGAGGACCCGATTCCAAGAAGTGGGAGAGATACTCAGACGCTAAGTTGGGAGGGGCGTGCTCATAGGTGACTCACAGGAAAAGAGGGGAGCACTGCTAGGCTCAACCATAAGAGCAGCCAAACAGGAAGACAGAAGGAGCCTAACAACCTGACATGGCTGCTCAGTGGAGCTCTGAGGAGCGGAGGACTCAACGAGGGGAGAACTCAGGTGCTCAGCTGGGAGCGGCGTGCTCATAGGTGACCCTCAAGAACGAGGGGAGCACTGCTAGGCTCACCTTCAAGAGCAGTCTAACAGGGAGGCAAAAAGGGCCTAACAACCTGACAGCTGCTCAATGGAGAGATCCAAAGAGCAGAGGACTCGACTCACAAAACAGGAGGAGAACTCAGACGCTCAATTGGGAGCGGAATGCTCATAGATGACCCTTGAGGACAAGAGGAGCACTGCTGGGCTCTAACAACCTGAGGAGGCCACAAAATGGAGCTCCAGGGAGCGGAGGACCTGGTGAGAGGGGACCTCCAATGCTCAAATGGGAGCAGCGTGCTCACAGGTGACCCCTCAGGTCAAGGAGAGCACAGCTAGGCTCAACCAAGAAAGGGGCAGCATACCAGGGAGGCAGCAAGTGGCC